ATATTTGTTTCACCTTGATGATACTTGAGAAGTGTCACCTTCTTTCATGAGAGAGAGAGAGAGAGAGAGAGAGAGCTTCAGTTTTGGCATCATGTAACTTTTCAACATGATCTATGGAAATTGAATGCAAGTCACTGATTTTTTTGCAACAAAATTTTGTTTGTGGCATTAAGCAGCAGCAGTACATATGTGTGTGAATGTGTCCGAGTCAATGAGGCATCATACATCGTACTCCTTTTCCTGCCCAAGTCGAAGCAAAGCTTTCCTCAATTTCATTTCACGGCCCACTTTTCTAATATGATTCCATTTCTCTCTCTCTTTAAAGTTTAAAGGTTAAAAAGTGATCTACTCATAAAACAGGGGTAGCTTGGTCAAAGGGCCTAAGGATGCCTACCGCGCCGCCGCATATAGACCGAAATAACATGAGTTTTTGAAAACTTTTCATTTTTTTTTTTAGAAAATCTTGCTTGATTTTAATTCCTCATGATATTTTTGTGGTATATTTGACAAAAATAACCTGATTTTTCAGAAATTTCAGTTATTTATTAATTTTTTTAAATTGTGAAAATCTTGCATGATTTTAATTCCTCATGATATTCTTGTGGTATATTCTCAAGATCTTTGTCGTAGTTTTTCAAGATTTTAAATATTTTTTGTTTGTAGAAAAGTTCTGTTCTCTTAAGATTCTTTTGGATAAATTCTTGAAGAAAATATTGAGTTTCCAATTGACACATAAAATTTCTTATTGTCAAATTGGGTAATTTGGGCTTTTTATGATCTATGAATACAAAGAGATATAGAGATTAGGGTTGGTTTCTAGATAGAAAATTGAACATTTACTTATCTGCATAGTATTTCGTTTATTCTTTCAGTTTTTGGTCGGGCCGAGTTGGATTGAACCCAATCTAGATCCTGGCCTAAGCTCAACCCGTTTGCATGGCTGCTCAACGGTGCTCAGATGAAGCATGTACTTATCTAGGTAGGGCTGACACTGCTTTCACCTTGGGCTGAGCCAACCATGGCCCTAGCCTACCACGATCCCTATAGGGCTGGCCTGAAGAGGCCCGACCCCTAGCCTTATTAAGGCCGGGCTAAGTGGAGCTACGTCAAATAGAATCAAAGGAAAAAGAAGAAGAAGAAGAAAAAACATAGGGAAAAAAAAGGGTTGGGTTGGGCCAGGCGAAACCGGTCTCGCCCTTGGGTTGTGGTGGCCCAACCATTGAGCTGCATTTTGTTGCCTAAGCCCTAGTTTTTAAGGGCCGGACCGACTGGGTCTGATCGCCCCATTGCCTCCACTATGTCTAGGTTACGATTCACTGCCTAGATCATCTAATAAATGAACGTGGGCATGATGGTGAAAATACAATTCATATCCATTTGCGGCCTACATGGTTGAGATCAATCTATTAAGATCGAATAGGTCACTAAACTGATGAGACGTTTGGTTTAGTTAAAATTGGTTAAATCATTGGTCAAATCAGTTGGATCAGATTTAAAAAAAAAATAAAACAAAATTTGATATAAAAGTTTAAAATATAAAACATATTAAAAAAATTTGCTAACTTCATTTAACTAGTCGAATTGGTAAAACATACTGGTCCGACTGGCCAAAACTGGTCAAAATACTGATTTTGATTAGTTTTCGACCAAGTCTAGTTTTTGTTTTTAGATCAGACTGGCTAAAGTACTAGTCGGCGATCCAAATGTCAGACCATCAATTCAGTCTGGTTGTCATCTACTAAAATGGACCCTCTAGATGAGCCTAGCTAATCTAAACACTCAAAAGCAACGATTTAGATGAGTGTGACTAATCTAAAAAAAGGAAGGATTTAGGTGCATCTTAGAATGTACCTCTTACAATGAGTACACGGTCTCAAACTTCATCTTGGATATGAAATTTGGAATTTTATGTGCCAATCATCATGACCACCACGATAATAGACCTGAAAAAAGAAAAAGCCAAAATTTGAGCATTAAAAATGATTTACTTTTACTTTTTTTTAATTCTTCCAATATCATGCATGTATTTGTTTTTATCTTTTTTTTATAACTCTAAATTCACAGGTCGAAGACAAATGAATTTTCAGTGATTTGGAACGTGAAACGCAAAGGTGGGTACGCCGGCCAACTCATCAAATACTTTTCCATGGGTTTATTTCCCTAATAGTAGATAACTAGTTTGACTCTTTTTATTTTTAGTTTTATTTTTATTTTTAAGTGAGTAGTTTAAGATTGGCTTTAGCGAAAAATAACAAACGAGTGGTCTGCGATTAAACAGTTGTGAAAATGAAAAAGTGAGAAAGAGAGGGGAGAGAGAGAGAGAGAGAGAGAAGAGAAAGAGAGAGAGAGAGGGAGAATTAAAAACGGGAGGGGTAGACGTGAAAGCTGACTGTTTTGACATGAGAGTCTTACCCACTGAATTCCATGCTCATCCGCATAATTTTGTGGCGGCTGCCCTCAACATCTCATGGAATGACATATTGATGTGGGCTTTAGAGATTAGATAAAACCTGTAGTCCATGTTGGGACCTAAAAAGTCCCGGGAGTCCACCACTGTGACCCCAGCCGGGTGGACCATCATTCTTACCGTGTGTGGACCACAATGTCCTCTCTCTCTCTCTTCTTTCTCTCTCTTCCAAGAGTAAATTGTGTTAATTCTCTTCTATAGAGAAATGAAACTTCCCTTTCAGAACCAATTCCCCCCTCTCTCAACCCTAACTTCCCTTTCAATTCAAATTGTAAAAAACTCTCTCTCTCTCTCTCTCTCTTTAAGAGTAAGTTATAATAATTTTAAGGAAGTAAAACTTCCCTTTCAAAGCCAATTCCTCCTCTACCCCACCCCCCACTAAAAGTCTCTCAAACACAAGTTCCCTTTCAAATCTAATTGTAAATAATCTCCCTCTCTCTCTCTCTCTCATCTCTCAGTAAATTATCCTTAATTCTATCAAAGTAAAGGTATAAATCCCATTTTACATGATCCTCTCTCTCTCACTGAAAAATAAGGGATGAGGAGTTCATGAGCGCCGACCTATAAAATGCTATAGGCCGGTTGTCCGAGATTAAGTGATCTAGGTGGCCAACGATCACTAGTCTGAATGAAGGAATCTACGTCGCTTATTAAGCATATTTTTATTTTTATATTTTTTTTTACACCAATATAAAGTGCAGGTCTCTTAAAACATTTATATAAAACAATGAAAAATAAATCTGAGCCATCTAGCTTATACTAGACCCATCATATACTATCTTTTTCGAAATCATAGAGGAGCTTAATTTTATACAAAAGTAAATTCTCCCCTAAAAACCCCAAAGTAGCAAATCCTCTCTTTCATTTATTTTCTCTTTCTCAAAATGAAATTATACTTGACTCTATAATTTACACAAAAATGGAATATCCTCACTCTCTACCATATTAGAGAGAGTAAAAAGTATTTTTACTAGAAACATCAGCTAAATTGGCCCTTACCATCTCCATAAACAACTAAAATGTGCCTACCATTTCTAAAATGGATAAAAGAGCCCAAAAGGTACCTACACATAACCATTGATTGAACTGTGGAATTGGAAAATGCTCAATCTATATGGGAAAAAAAATTCAAAACTAGATACTCTTTCTGTGGGGTTCTGACGAATGTCTCTTTTGCCCCTGACCAGGCTTTAATGGCTGAGGAGAATGTTATCAATTTAGGGAAAAAAGGGGAAGATGATGAAATTTGTGGGCCTCTGTCCCACCGAAAGGAAAAAGATAAAGAAACTCACAGTTGTTATTTGACAAAAAGTTAGGGATTTTTTATGTCATTTTCAAGGCATGAAGGAGCTCCAATTGGTACCCACATAAATCCTCGTGTACCATTCGATGTCCATCTATTGCAAACTTTGAGAAATTTTCTTTTCTAAATCCAATAATGACCCCTTTGCAATGATACAATGCTTTCCCCACGGGTGGACACTTTCTCTCTCCAGAGAATGTTAAATTATACCATCTCTCTCTCAACTATACCATCTCTCTCTTGACTATACCATATCTCTCTCTCTCAACTATACCATATATTTTTCGGAAAAATCGAATCGGAGTGGCTAACTCAATCGAATCGGAGTGGCTAACTTGATATGGCCGGAAGCCTCAATCAACCTAACTGATAAACCGATCGATTCAATCTGCTTAATCGGGCAAGTCCTGAGCGAATAAAAAAGTGTTAAAAAAATAAAAAATATATTTCAAATATGATTAAATAAAACACGTTCAAATGAAGTTGAAAATTATAAAAAAAATTGATTTAAAAGAATCAGTGCCTTGAATATTTTTGAATTTTTTTTTAAAAAATAGAAAAATATGAAAATAAGTTTTAATAGCCAAAAAATTTTCCAACCAAAATGAATACATTACAGAACCGATTTTGAGATTTTATATAATTGTTTTAAATTTCTTTTAAAATCTCTTGCCAATTCACTAAAACCGATCGAAACTAGAACCAATGCACCTGGTTCGACCCGACTAACCGGGCACTTAGAATTTAAACCGCTTGATTTTTCTCATAACGTGCCATCTTTCTATCTCTCAATGCAACATATGCCAACTTTCTCTCTCTTCTTAAATATCATCAATCTTCCTATCCCCACTTAGGATGTGTGAGAAAGTGTGGGGGTCGTGATTTTAGGAGCAAATTTGCCCATTAAGGAAACCAAGGTGTTCTTTTGCGTGTAAATGTTGTCGAGATTACTAGTGAGATAATAAGGGCATGAGCTTTTAAGAGAGAGAGAGAGAGAGAGGGGTAGGGTAGAGAGAGAAAGAAAGAGGTAAGGTAGAGAGAGAGAGAAAGAAGGGAAGGTTAAAAATAGGGGTTGGGAAATATTCTTTTTAGTATAGGACGAAAATATTGCCTGTCGCCACATGGTAGATAAGAAATGATATTTTTTTGAGGGGAGAGGGTAAGGGCTACAGGTCGGTGGCCCCAACCCTTGGCCATATGAGGACACAACAAACTGCGTGAGGGGAGCATGAACGCTTAAAAGAGACCCTCAATTAATAATTCCTTTGTATTTTCTCTCTCTAAAAGAGAGGTGAGAGAAAGGGGTAAGACCCTTGGAAGAGAAAAACCAGTAACCAGCAAATCAAATCAAGCAAAACATTCACTGTAGGGGGGAGAGAGAAGCTTTTGAAGAGAGAGGAGGAGGAGAACACAAGGCATGGGAATAAAGAATCTATGGGGGTTTGTATTATGAAAATATGAATATGGTGGGGTTTATTTATTCCTTTTTTTTTTTTTTTATATCATTTGCTGGTTATAGGCAAGGGATTGTGTGGTTGAGGTGAGAATCAGTGGTTGGTATTGCTCAAGGAATGAAGTGCAGTTTAGAGAGAGAAAACCCCATTTTTTAGATTGGAGCCCAAGACCCAAAAGCTAGAGTTAGAGTTAGAGAGATAAAGACCCATAAGTTAGATTGGGAGCAAAAGGGCAAGAGCTAGAAGAATTGAGCCGTGGTGTATGAGAGAGAAGCAACACTGAGTTCTGGTCAAGATTAGGGCAAAACAAGAAGATGGCTGGTTCTGCGAAGCCGCCGTATTTCAATACGATAAGAGAAGAAGATCGGATCTCCATGCCCCCGCAGAGGCTGCCGGAAGCTATTCAGCCGCCGCCGCCACCACCAGGTGGCTCAGCTCCTGTCAATTCTTCATCACAAAGCACAGTTCAAAAGAAGAAGAGAAACCTCCCGGGGACACCAGGCAAGTACATCCCGAACACCTAGAGAGAGAAAAAGGGGGTTCAGGTAGAGAGAGAAGCATAGAGGATCGATAGAGAGAGAAAGGGGAGTTGGGTTGTAGAGAGAGATGAATCAATCTTCCTTTTTATGAGAGAGAGGACAGAAGTAATTTTCAAGAAGCGCAAGAATTAGTCTCAGTCTTTCTCTTTCTTGTGAATTGAAGATGGCTTTTGAGCAATAATTTCTCTTTTTTTTCTTAATGGCTTCTCTCTCTATCTCTCTCTGTGTTACAGACCCTGATGCAGAAGTGATAGCGCTATCTCCGAAGACGCTAATGGCGACAAACAGGTTCATATGCGAGGTCTGCAACAAAGGGTTTCAGAGAGAGCAAAACCTGCAACTCCATAGGAGAGGCCACAATCTGCCATGGAAGCTGAGGCAAAAGTCGACAAAAGAAGTGAGAAGAAAGGTTTACCTTTGCCCTGAACCAACCTGTGTGCACCATGACCCATCAAGAGCTCTTGGTGATTTAACAGGGATTAAGAAGCATTTCAGCAGGAAGCATGGAGAGAAGAAGTGGAAGTGTGAGAAATGCTCAAAGAAATATGCAGTGCAATCAGATTGGAAGGCTCACTCTAAGACCTGTGGAACTAGGGAATATAGATGCGACTGTGGAACTCTATTCTCCAGGTAAAAAACCCTAGGTAGAGAGAGAGAAAGCATCCAAAAAGCCATTTGCCATCATTAAACAAATGAATGGAACCAAAAAAAACCCATTGTACTTTTTCGCCCATTGTCGCCTCTCTCTTTCTCTCTCTAGCTCTCTCTGTTTTTACATGGTTTTTGGATTGGAATCTCTCACAGTCTATACATGTCCGTGACAGTCTTCCTGTGAAGAGATTTTCTCTCTCTTCACTTGCCTTTCCTCCTCTCTCTCTCTCCTTACTTGAGTCTCTCTCTAGTTTCTCTTTCTTGCTTCTCTCTCTTCTTCCTTTCTTTCTTACTTGCCTCTCTCCGACCTCTCTCTACTCACCTCTGTGCCCTCTTTCTACTCTCTTAATTCTCTCTCACTACTCACTTCTTGCTTCTCTCTTCCTCTTCTCTCTCTACTCTCTTCTTGCTTCTCTCTTCCTCTTCTCTCTTCTGGCTTCTCTCTCTCTCCAGCCTCTCTCTACTCACCTCTGTGCCCTCTCCTCTCCTACTTCTCTCTCTACTACTTTCTCCAGCCTCTCTCTACTCACCTCTGTGCCCTCTCTTCTCCTACTTCTCTCTCTACTACTTGCTTCTCTCTTTCTCTCTATTCTCTTTCACATCATCTCTCTACCTTTCCCTTCCTCCTTTCCTATCACACTCTCTAATCTCTCTATCATCTCCCATCTCTCTCTAACTCTCTCTCTTCTCTCTTTCTCTCTCTTCTCTTTCTCTCTCTCTTTTGGCTGGAATTTTTTTGCTGGAACTTTAATCTTTTCAAACCACTGGTGGCAATACGACACACAGTAAAACTAGTGCATCGGAACAATCGCCCAACCTCTCTCTCCTCAGTTCACGTGTTGCCATGAGACAGAAACTGATTTCCACGGTGAGAATGAAACCCCAAAACAAAACACAGGAAATAAACAAAGAAAAAAACCAAAAGAAGAGGCTAAATCAGAATTATTCATTCTGATACCCCAAAAATTCTATATCGGTACTATCATACGATGAATTATCTGATAAGAGTAAAACCTTACCCCAACCTGCAAAAATTCCATATCAATATCATATGTAATCTGCATGTTGACTGTCATAGTTTGAACCCCATGAAGAGAGAGGAGAGATGACCCCAACTCACAAAATCAACATATGGGGTGTCATAGTTTGAACAATCTGATGAGAGAGAAAGTTATGAGAGATGAGAGACAAAGCTTACCCCAACCTGCAAAAACTCCACATGGTGTGTCATAATTTTGAGAGAGAGAGCCAAAAACTCGTAGAATTTTTACTGATTCAAGCAAGTCGGTTTTTTGTTACAGGAGGGACAGCTTCATAACACATAGAGCCTTCTGTGATGCTTTAGCTGAAGAGAGTGCAAGGCTCCCCTCTGGTTTCCTCAGCTCAGCCAGTGGCCATCTGTACACTGGTTCAAACTCAACCCTAAATCAACCAAGCTCTCAAATGGCTTCTTTATTGGACCAAATTCACAACCCAGCTATGAGGCCACCTCCAAACCCTAATTTGCTGAGGCTTTCAGGGAACTCTCAGATGGACCACCTCATGCCTCCACCTCAAAACCCTAATTTCCAGACACCACCAAACCCTAGTTTCTTCGGCCTCCACCTGCAAGATTCTGGCAACCTGGCCGGAATCCTTGCTGGGAGCTCGCCGGATTTCCAACAGCAAGCTCGACACGGTTTTCTACAGAATCCCGGAAACAAGAATAGCAGTATGGGAGCTAGCACTAGCAGAGAGGATAACAATAATTCCGGTGATAATAACCCGAATTGTTCGAGTATTTTGATGTCGGAGCAGCTCGGAATTATGGCGAATGATCAAATGAATAGCGGTGTTTCATCTCTGTACAGCGGTCATGGCCTCCCTCAAATGTCGGCGACGGCGTTGTTACAGAAAGCTGCTCAAATGGGTGCAACTACTAGCTCCAACACTGCTTCTTTACTTAGAGGTTTGAGCTCTCCGTCAAACACTAATGCTCATCAAAAGCCTGATCTCTCTTCTACAATGGGCCTTTCATGGCAAGACCAACAAAAACCAGAGCTAGTCTCAGGGTTAGATCATCAAATGAGGACTAATTTTAGTGGAGAAGAGGCACAAATACAAGACATTATGAACTCTTTAGCGGGAGGAGGGACCGGCATATTCGGCGGTGGTGCCGCTACATTTGGAGGAGATTGTAGCAACAGTGAGAATGAGCAGCAAAACCATTATGGTGGGTTCAGTGGTATGATGCAAGGTGTTCATGGATTGCACCAGGGTGGCTTTTTGCATGGAGTTGTGGGTTCGGGTTCAAGAATCGAAGAAGGAGGAGGAGGAGGAGGAGGAGACAGATTGACAAGGGACTTTTTAGGGGTCGAGAACATGGCTAGAAACATGGGGAGAGGACTTTCACAGAGGGACCATCATCAGGCAGCCATGGCTTCGCTTGATTCGGGCCTCAAGTCTTACAGACGTGAGAATTTGCAGTGAGAGGTCGGGATCGAGTGCGCTCGAGATAAGATTTAAGCCAAGGTATGTTAAACCTGTTTGCTAAGCTAGATGAATTCGCTTAGTTCTCTCTCCTTCTCTTTCTCTCTCTTTCTCTCTAAACCACTGTTATGTTTTTACTCTTTGCTGTTCTTAGTAGTGCTTTCTAGTTTTCACTTTCAGTGTGCCGCTCCCTGTCTTTCTCTCTCTTTCATATTATCATTGTCTTCTTACCCCCCCAGTTCTAAGACATGCTAGCACAGGTTTTGTCCTCTCTCTTTCTCTCTCTAGGGGATGGCTTTAATGTTCTTCTTGTTCATGCAGTTCTGAGATATGCATGCCTTATGACTGTGGTAGTGTGTGCAAAATGCCTATCTAATATTTGCTCTTTCGTTTGTTGGGCGCAAAAGGAGGTCCTACATTATATGTCCTTCAAAAGGTGGCAATTCTTTGGTAAACAGACTTCAGACACTTCAGTACCTTGCTCATTAAAGAAGCTACTCGTTCCGACTCTTTAATGTATTTTGAAAATGCTGCAATCCTAGAGAGAGAAAGAGAGAGAGAGAGAGAGGTGGTAGATTTCTTTTCACATTCTTTACGTGTGTTTGCATGTTCATCGGCTAGACCAATGAAAAGCAAGGGTTGTTGAGCCTTTTCAAGGTGAGGAAATACATGCAAGAGCGTGGATTACAATGCTAACACCCTAAAATAGCCCCCACCCCCTTCCTCTCTCTCTCTCTCTCTAAAACTATCTTTCTCTCTCTACAACTCTCTTTCTCTCTCTACAACCACAACGTGCATTCCACCTTCCCATTCTCTCTCCACTACAACTATTACCATTCTAACTTACTGAAACAACCCCCAAACCTATCTCCCTTTCTCTCACCTCTCTCTCTCTCTCTCTACTATTCTACCATCCTATAATACTACCCTTAACCTTCTCTCTCTTTTGTGGAAATTATGCAATAAAACAGCCAAAAAATCTTACACAGTCAAACATGACAAAATTTCAACACACCAATGACCGTTGCAGTACAATACCACAAACCAATATAAATACAAAAATAAACTAAAATAAAATAAAATAAAATAATGGAACACAATAATTTCTTTCTAGATTAGAACATACTTCACTTTAACTACATTTTTCTACTTGGAGTAAAAAGGAAATCATTTTTGTTTATTTCTAGTATTCACATTGATATTATATATACATATACATGACAACAAATTTTCTAAAATTTTGTTAATAATAATAGTAATAAAATAATAATAAATAATAACGAAAAAAGGAAGCGGCTCTAAAACTAAAACGCATCCCAATAAAAAATGATGCGTGTCTTTTCCTTCATTTTGAAAAGTATGCACAAGTTGCTCCCAAGTTGACTTGAATGACGACTAAATTTTTCTTTCTATGAGGAAATTTGTGTCAATAATGAAGTTTACTTATGTGAAAGTTGAATCAACTCTAAATATTTCTCAATAATGAGTAGGAAACACTTTAAATGTCACTCCTTTATTCATTATTATATTTCCCTCCTCTATTATTATTACTATTATTATTATTATTATTATTATTATTATTATTATTATTATTATTATTATTATTATTATTATTATTATTATTATTATTATTATTATTATATTTTATTTTGTGGGGTATGCTAACTAGCCTAACTCATAAGAGAGAGTCAAAGGAAAAAGTCTGAGATCAATTTATAACCACACATTTTGTTGTTGTAAGATGTTGAACAATACCATACATTCAAGATTCATAAGGAGATACGTGGTGTTATAAAATTCTTATAGAGGAGAGAGTCAAATGGCAATGGAGGATTCCGAAAAGGTAGCAAGCAGAAAGAAGAATCAAGTGAACCATTTGAAATGGTTGATTACATTGACAGGAATAGAGAATCATACTATCTTGTTTTTCATTCAATCAATCAAGAAATTAATGTGCTAGATAAGAGACATAATCTGGGGTTGATAGAAGTCCGATTTCTCTTTTTTTTTTCTTTTTTTTTAAAGAAAAACCTATACATAACTCTGGTTGTTCATTTTCGTGGCTTCAATCTAGGCCATTAAGCCTATATTGTTCTATAGGCCCTCAGATGACTTATATATACAAACACGCACACACATTGCATGCATGTGTAGATTTTTGTTTGTAGTTTTGTTTACGCTCAGATTTGTGCCAATATCATAGAGAGAGCGTTCTACTTTTTCTTTTCTAAAATGGATAAAAGAGCGTTAAGGAAGGCCTCAAACCTTAAGAAACTTGGATCTCACACTAAGATGGAAGAAAAACAGTGGGAGAGATCATCGCTCACTGGATTATATCTTCCAGATGAACCTGCATTAGTCTTATCCAAATTGTCTGTGCAAGCTCCATTCCAAGAGTAACCATATTCTATTTGCAATTTCTTTTGCTTCTCTATTTGCAAGATGATCAAATATACTCCTTGTATAGTTTGTACATGTCTTCATTCAAACCTCAAATTATATACCTATGGATCTCAGATTGCTTGTCCTACTTCATAACATTATATAGACTTAGAATAATGGCCCAAAAACCCAAGTAGCATCTTCAAATTTACCATTTAAGTGTGAAAAGTTCATGTACACACAAATTAGGTACACATGCATGCATAGAAACATATACGTTCTTATATATAGATGTAAATGTGCATACATAATTCAGTTACATACACATGTGCATTTAATTGTATGTTGCACATACCATGCATATGGAGTTGTTGATATTCACATGTAAAGATACATAGGGATATCGTTTGTCTGTTAGTTCATATTTATGGGATTGTATATTATAAAGGGAAAAGTTCATATAAGGTTGGAACCTTATACTGTAGACGAAAGGCACGCAAATTTATTTATTGAAAATGGTTATTCCAATGCTAAAACGCTCTAATTAATCATCTCAACCTTGAGATGTATGGATGTGAGAAAAAAATAAATTTAAAGTCCAAAAAATGGTATGTCTTGTAATGCATTATCTTGACCATCCATTCACAAGATTTTCATGTATTTGTAGATCTGCATCATTCGTTGAGTTTTAAATTTCATAATTAGATGTTAGATAGAATTTCAAGTCATCATTAAAATTTCGATACCAAAATTACATCTCTCGAAGGCCTTTGGAATTACACCTTATTTGGATTGTTTAAGGTTGACCCTTTTTACGAACCACACCCTGTTATAAAACCATTTACTTTTAGTACAAGAATGTCAGAATCAGCTAGGTATGTCACTTCTCCACATAAAGTCCAAGAATTTTTTTTTTGACTTTGAACACAACCAATGAGCCATCCCTAGTTGATTGATTTCACATCCAATGGCTAGGGATGATCTTGGCTTTTGTGTACCAGCAGTAAACTTTCTATTTCTTAAACTAATATTCGGAAATGTGGTAATACATAATTGTGAAACTTAAAGTGTTGATAAAATCTTTTGAACCATTTTAAGTTACATTGTAATAAGATCTTCGAGGAAAGCTTGTCACTCGTTTGCAAACAAAATTTGAATCCCTGGACATATTTTAGACATTTAGCCATAAAAAATCATAAAGAAGCTTTATATATTTCCAATCATGAGCAACCCAGAAGGGCTCCACATGAATTAAAACACATAAATATGCAGACATTTTTTATCCACCATGGAGAACATCTAAATTTTATCTCTTAACTTGTAGCATATTATGTGAAACCTACAGGGATAAATAACAAAGCTTCTAAAAAATGCAGTATTAAATATTACTGCACCAGTTGTGACTGAAACTCTCATCATGAAGTCTAAAATGGTTTTCATCATCAAATAAACCTAGCATATCGCTTATCAAATGTTTATTGTTACTACTCTTCATTTGCAATTTGTTTTTAACTTTCACACATATTTTAGGATCCATATTCAGCTTGTTATTGTAAAAAGCTAAAGCCATATGATACTAATTGGTAGCATATACATCGCACAAAAAATTAACAAAGACAAAGTGTAGCATCAAAGATTGTAGCATTATATTGAAGAATGTGGAAGTGAAGAAATATAGGGAGAGAACTTTTCAAAGATAGCAAGAAATACAGTAAAAAATGAAGAAACCAAGACTAGAGCATATTTATGAAAGTAAAGGGAAACAACACAACTTCAAAAAATTCATGATCCTTTGAGAAAACATGTCATTTTAAAAAGAACTAAGGAAATATAATATTGCCGGTAGCATCAAACTCAATAAGTTATGATCATTTTACCTAAATATCTGATATGCTTTGATTGTTTTTGGATCAAATTTAGATATTCAAACTTAATTGCCAAAAAGTTAAAATAAATTCATGAGTGTGAATTACTTTTCTATAGCTCTTGTTATTTCCTTTAGAAAAATACTATCAATTATAAAGCTATTTTTGGCCATTTGCCTATGGTTGCCGGTGCCCATAAGTTTGCTCAAATTGTAATTTTAAATCTATTTAGGGTTTTGATATACAAGTATCCAATTGTTTAGAATCCACTTTATTTGAACACAATTTAAGTGGATTGACTCCTTTCCAATGCTTGGTTGTAGAAATTATGAGATATTTAATGTTTTAATATTGTAATTGTAGAGCATTGTTTTTGAAGGACATTCTAGCAACTAGTTAACAAATAATCTCTCTTTTATCAAAACTATTGGTGCATATATATGTTGTGTGCATGTCTGCCATGTCTATGTATTCTTTCCCTTTAAAAGAGAAAATATGAAATCCACTTCAAAATTGATGAACTTTTTATTTGAGAAAGCAATGACAAAGGTATGCTAGCTAAGTCGTCAGTAGTTATGCAACCAAATTTCTACTAATACCTGCTGATTGTATTTGTAACAAGTGACACGGCAATAGTTTATATAGCCTTTGTCATATATTAAGTATTCAAGTAAAAGCATGAGTAGTGCTTCATACAATCCGAGGATCATTTAGTTGTGCTGAAGACGATAAGTTAAGGGACATTTTCTTATTTTCCTTGTTTTGTGAAGAGTGAAGGATGGGCACATGTACATTCTCGTACAAAAACACAAATGTATGTACGCATGTGAATACACAAATACGAACATTTATTTTATAGAAATTGTTTATCTTTGGTAAAAGAAAGCCACATTTACCTCAAGCCATCAGATGTGAAATCCGATGACCTCTTCTCAGCAAAACATTTGAGAAAATTCTCTCGAAATTTGAGCTTGGCCAATGGCAGACTCCAGCGAACCAATATCGAATCTAGTGGCTAGAGGTGATACCGGACCTTTTGTACCAAAGATAAACTAGATAAACTGTGTTACTGTATGTTTTGAATATTTATATACTTGAAACACGTGCGCAAACACCTTAGTCATGTATGGATCTTAATTTCTATGAAGACTATTATGATTGACAAATGCATGAATACCTGTCATTTACTTCAGTGTAAGGAGACCTGTTATGTTTTCTGGATTTTCTTATGTGTTTATTGTTAGGTAAGAGAGGTGTAAGGCATGACCCCTACCATGGTGCCCTTGAGTCAAGTGACACATACAAAGGACCTCCATTTGTGAAGTGCAAGATTCATCAACTTTGCTAGAAATGATTGGTAAAGGCTAGTTGCTTCAAAAGCCGTTCGTGAGAACTTTCAACATTACTTTTGTTGTTGTAATGCAATAAACAATTTGTTGCTTTAAGGTCAGATTAAAACCACATAGGTACTTTTACTTGATCAGATTTTTGGTGCCCACATCTTTGTTGAGGATATACTTGGTTTAAAGGATCCTTTCCTTTACCTCTTGAGGAGGTAAAAGTGCAAGGTCTCAACAACTGTTTCTTTATATCACTAGTGAGTCTTGAAATTTAGTAGCATATAAAAGTCATGCAATTTTTGTTATATATTGTGGTGATATGTTTTTTTTTTTGAGACATCCTTAAAGGTAAAGAAGGAAAATAGGCATTTCTCAGACTTCAGCTCAATGCTCAATGGTAGACATATCAGTTTAGGTGAAGGAGGCTAAGGGTTTGAACTCTTAAAGTCTGTCTAGAAAATCCCAAACAAGCTAACCTAGCACCTTTTAAAAAGGGCACCCTAAGAAGAAAAATCATTGTGTATCATTAAGTCATATGAATTTACAACATTATTACCGGATTACCGGATTCTGTTATGACTAAGAGAAATAGTTCCTGGAGAGCTCCTGAGAATTCATCCAGATATCTCTACTCCAAAGGACGTTCATCCAAGGGTTTAATTTCCATGTACTTACCAATTAAATTTGCTTATATTTCCAATTTATCTTTCCTTGATTCTCTTTTCTGCATGTTTAAAGTAAATTCAAAACCATGTACTGAATGAAACAAGATAGTTGTTCAACCTCCTTGGTGATTTTGGCCATCTCCACACTATTTATGGATAAACAGGAGTGCTAGCATGTGCTAATCCCTTCAACTTAGCCAATGAAGCATGGTTATTGAATGGATTTAAAACGAGTCAAATTGTGTCCCCCATTGGTTTAACCTAATGCTTGATTGAGATTCATACTTTTTTTTTTCTCAAGAAATGAAAGAAAAAGATCACTAAATTAACCAATTGCATTTGATTTCAACCGTAAAACCATGCATAAAGATTAGAACACACATTTTTTAGTCCTGTTTATTCAAGGAATAAATTCTTAATCTATTAATTTCTCAAGAAAACACTTGGGGTATACCATGAATGATTAAACAATAACATGGTATTTTTCTTTATTTTATGTAGCCATTATTGCAAGTAGAAATCGTTGATTTAGTAAAATGAAAAGGCATATGGCCATAAAGTTAACAAACAGAACTATAACTACAATATTTTTGGCCTTTTCTTAAGATGATTAATAAAATAATTAAAAAAAAGGAGAGAGAAAAAGAACAACATTACTACTTCATTATTTTTTTTATCATATAGATTATGGTCCATCTCACCATCTTCCATCAAGAAAACAAAATTAATAACGAATAAAATGAACAATAGAAAGGTGATAAATTAAATGTGTCTAGTAAAAAGAATATGAATAAGGAATAAAATGAATGACAAAAAAGGTGATAGAAGTAAGTATATCTTAACAAAGAATTCGACAAATAGGAAAGGGGTTGGGTCGTGGTGGTAGCACCCATATACCTGTTTATCATGATATGGTTTCCAATCCTTCAGATACCGCTCACTAACACCTTCAAAAAAGTTAACTCCTTAATCTATATGAAAAAAACGGGTAGGGACCTATCTTCCTCCATTAAATTACCTCAAATAAAAAAATAAAAAAAATAAAAAGAAAAGAAGAAAAAGAAGAAGAAGAAAACAAAGAATTTGACAAAATTCAAGCAATGGGCAATCATGGGTTTTTCACATTTTATGAGGATACAAAATTTACCACCCCATAGACCTTAGTTGTCCATATAAGCAATCAAAGTAAAACAAAATCAAAGTGGGGTTTGGTTTCTCAAAGGAGATGAGATTGTCATTTTTCATGTCAACTTCTTGTGAGCTGCAAAGATTCCAAACCTCACAATCTTGTAGGGCCCAAGTGTTCACGTTATAACTAGTAGGGGACGATTCTCTTGCAGTTGCTGCCACCCTCCCTATAAATAATGACTACCCACTGTCGTTTGTATTGGATTTTCCTTGCTCCCCAAAACCCTAATTCTCTTGAAACTCTAACTTTTCATATAGCTACTTCTAATAACATTAAAAACCATTGTATGCAATTTAATTCATCTATCTCTTGTAAATAGTGACAATTGATGGATTCTATCTAGAGTTTAGATGGACGGTTGAGATGTCCCAAAGCCCATCATGTTTCTCCCATGTCTTGAATTTGTACCCTGCAATTGTACCATGCAATGTCTAATCTTTCATGGCTTCCTCAAGGTAAAACAACCACGGTATGGAATCAACGCCGCGGATGCTCCGAGGCGGTCGCTTATCGGGTGTGTGGAGGATATGAGCCGTCCATTCTTTTGTCGGT